TAATAAAACGGAAATTTGATTGTAATTAAAACAGAAATTAATTTTTACAATCCCTAGATTGAATATTATCTCGTAAGTGCGTAATGTCTAACTGAACACGTATAAATTCATTTAATTTATACATTTTTAGTTTATAATAACTTTAATAATGATGAATGCTGGTTAAAAAATCAAAATCATAATTTTCCCGGTCCGCTGGTACCCTATGTTCACCGTGATCACCATGTAACGGAAACGTAAGACCAGGTGTCCAGCAACGTGATAAAAATTTACCGCATTCACTACATTTATGAGTTAAAAAACTATCGAAAAATGTAGACAGAACGCTGTGTTGCTGAACCGTATATATATATATGAATAGTCTTGTATTTCATCGAGTTCTAACTGCTCGACCATACATTGCTGCCCGCAAAATTTTAATGTGAGACCACTCACGTGTTTATCTAATTTTATACAAAGTATTATTAAAAAATCGGTAGCAATATTTAAATTTATGTTGTGTATCGGGTAAAACGATAACACGTTATTCGACGTTATATGAGGTTGCTCGAAATAGTCATACTATTTACTACAAATACTCTCTACAATAGAATCACACTCTTCTCTAGTCAGATCCCATAGTTCATGGCATGATAACACTAAGTCGGCTAAATTTTCTGGGTTCATTATACTACTCTGATAATAAATAAATAAATAAAAATTCGGTAAATAACTGAATTAAAATTTTTACGCGTTACGTTTAGTTAATTATGTTAAAAATATATAAAGAGTTTAGGTTAAATACCTAATACCGGGTAAAGTAAATATTAAAATTTGCTTACGTATCGAGAAGTAAAGATGTGATGTAGTGCATGAAGGCTTTAATTCTTTGACTCTGACTTGAAAGTTGGAACTGCTTTTTGATTTTAGAAAAATCCTAAAATAATATTATTTGTAATTAAAATAAAGTAATACATTATACAAAACGTTACTATATTATATTTAATATACTAAATATATTATACATCGAGATTTAATATGAAATAAACTTACTTAAAATATTGTATATGATGATGGTAGGAGTAGTTGTAGTAGCAAAAATTGAATCGACTGAGAAAGCTGAAGACTCTGACACAACTGATCGATCGGAATACGACAGTGCAGTACCAAGGGTCTTGATTTTCGCTATCCCTCCCCTGTTATTTTATTTATTATTATGATTTCTTATTTATTTTTTTTTTTTCTTAAATATCTTGTCATTAGATTCAATGCGATAAAAAAACCGACGCCAGACACTCCTACAGTCTACTATATAATAAATATATATGTATAATTTTAATAACCATATATCGGTTATTATCACAGTAAAAATATATTTTCTACGTGAAAAATCACTTAAAGAAGATCATACGGTCATGTTTGTATAAAATACAGACTTCTTTTTAAATTTTCTTATCGAAAAATCATATCTTATAAACAAAAATCAATAGGTGCCAGGTTTTAAATGTAAAATTATAACCCCTAAGTCTAGACATAATAGGAAAAAGGTTAAGTAATTACTTATCCTTTGTCATAAATTACAGTAAAACTCGTCTCATTCTAATATTTACAGACTGCACTTAATTCTAGGGGGGGAAAAACACACACACTTTTTTCATCGAAAATAATATTGTATTCAACACACATATTTGTATAACAACGATTTTAAGAATTATTTAAAAACCATTTTTTCAACACGAAAATTCTATAATATGTACATTTAGTATAGTTTAAATTTTTATGATATAAACAGCACGCCACCGGTGGCGGTAATGATGAAGGCTTTTGACTGATATCGGCACATATTTGACTCAGGCGTGGACATCCGAGCTGTTGAAGGTCGACAATTTCCACGTTC